GTGGTGTGCCCTTGTGATCTAAGCTACTTGGGAGCCCGAAGCAGGAGGATCCCTCGAGCCCAGGAGTTCAAGACCAACCTGGGCAACATAGCAAGATGTCATCTCAAAAAAACTTTTTTTTTTAAATCAAAGGACTTCTTAGACTTAAGAAAATAATGGTACTAAGTGGCATAATAAGCACCTAACAGATGTTAGCCATCATGGTAAAGAAATGCCCGGCTGGGCGCAGTAGCTCACACCTGTAATCCCAGCACTCAGGGAGGCAGAGGCAAGAGGACTGCCTGAGCTCAGGCACTCAAGACCAGCCTGGGCAACTTGGTGAGACCTCGTCTCTACAATAAATCAAAACATTAGCTGGGCATAGTAGTGCTCACCTGTGGTTCCAGCTACTTGGAAGGCTGAGGTGGAAGGATCACCTGAGTCCAGCAGGTCAAGACCACAGTGGCCATGAGTGTGAGACTACACTCCAGCCTGGGCAACAGAGTGAGATCCCGACTCAAAAAAAAAAAAGAAGAAACAGAAAAACAAATGCCTGATATACTTACAACAGATAGAAACAGAAGGCTTTACCACGCTTAATTTTTAATTTAAATGAATACTACTATGGGAGTTAGTTAAACAAGAAGTAGGACTGCTGGTTTCATCCAGTAAAGTAGCAAAAGAGGGTAAATGCCGTGTAAAATGCCTCTCATTTCTGATCCTCTCTGACGTCCTGGTTGGGTCATGGCCAATGCCAAAGGCAATGAGTTGACATCACCCAGCAGAAGAGGGCTCTGGAGACGCCGTTCACAGCTCGGGCCTCTGGGGTCAGTCCACACCACCTCCCCAGAATCTTGCCGCGTTGTTCCTCCCCCTGCTGGCAAGGCTGGCTCTGCTGGAGTCCTTGACCCGTGACCTTGACCTCTACACTAACCCAGAAGGCCTCTGAGGGCAGGGACTGCCTCCAGGCCTGACCCCCAGCCTTGCGTTCACTCCTGGTAGGCGTCCAGCAAGCCTGCCTCAGCCGTGGCACAGCCCAAGTCGCTTTTTTCCCCTTCTTTTTGAGTCGGGGCCTTACTCTGTTGCCCAGGCTGGAGTACAGTGGCAGGATCACAGCTCACCTGTGATCACCTCAGCCTCCTGAGGAGCTGGGACCATGCCCAGCTAGTTTTGATTTTTTTTTTTGTAGACACACCGTCTTGCCATGTTTTTCAGGAATGCTCCTGACCTCCTGGGCTCAAGCGATCCTCCTGCCTTGGCCTCCCAAATTGCTGGGATTACAGGCATGAGCCACTGCGCCCAGCCCTAAATTGCTTTAAAATGATGTTGAGATAAAACCTAACGAGAGGCAAACCATTAAGTTTTTCGAGGGAATCAGTTAGGTATCTTTAGATTACAAAAGCTACCTCTCTATAGGAAAAGAGAATCAAGTAAAGATTGTGATAAAGGGTGGTATCTCGAGTGAGAAGTCATTCTAAATGAGCTGCTCACAAGAATCACACCCGGGCATGCTGGCCCACACCCAGGATGGCGCTACAGCCAGGCTGACACTCACAGGGGCGTTGGAACCCTTGAAGGGAGAGGCAGAAGAATGCTTACATCAAAGACCCGTTTCTGAAAACAGCAAGGCAGAAAGTGCTTGGTAATCTCCAAAAAGCCTATTAAAAAGGAAGTGATGATCGGGCTGCATAAATCAGATTCAGCTTTATCAGGACAAAAAAAAATGTATCCAAAGGCTTCCTCCTTCTTTACACAAGGTGTAAGTCCTGGAAGGACACAGGAGCACTGCTATGAGCCAGGGGTCCAGGAAGCTGCGTTGGAAGATGAGATCGACACCTCATGGGATTTTCTAGCAGAAAGGGAGACTTCAGCTCGCCAGACCCCTAGGCCTGCAGACCGGGACTGGTCCGTGACCTGTTGGGAACCAGGCAACACAGCAGGAGGTGAGTGGCAGGTGAGTCAGCCAAGGTTCATCTGTGTTTACAGCCACTCCCCATCGCCATGTTACCACCCGAGCTCTGCCTCCCATCAGATCGGCAGTGGCATTCGATTCTCACAGGAGCTTGAACCCTACTGAGAGCTGCACACAGAGAGATCTAGTTTGCAAGCTCCTTAAGAGAATCTAATGCCTGATGGTGCCCCTTGACCATCTGTGGAAACACTGTCTCCCGTGAAACCGGTCTGTGATGCCGAAAAGGCTGGGGTCTGTGGCCCTAAAAAAACTCAAAGTCTCAAATACCCAATTTCTCCCTGCTCTTAGATTACTGTGTTTTCCATCTATACTTGGACCACATACCTTCTAGGAGAGCACTCCATAAGAAGAGTCCAGTCAGAACATGACTCTATTGCCTTCTAGAAGGCTACATGCACCCCAGGACTACACATATGAGCACCTGACTACAAAATGCCCTTATATATTTTATTTTGTTTTTCATATATGGGGGGATCCCCCTAAAAACTGGAATTTATTTATAAAAATTGTGTATTTATTCTTACATGTTTAAACTTCAGCCACCTTCACAGCACTCTCTGTGTGGGGCAATACACCTATCGAGATGCTTTTTCCAGTGCTCAAAAGTTTCTGAACTTGTCAATTCTGATGCCTCTTAGTGCTTCCGTCATTTTTTGTTTCACCCCTTCTGCATCGGCAAAATGTTTCCCTTTGAGGACTTTTTTGATCAGGGAAACAAACAGTTGCTCGGGATGAGATCGTGTGAATGTGGGGGTGGGCACAGGGGTCAAGCCATTTTTGGTAAAAAAATATTCAGCACAGTGTGGGCAGGTGTGCTGTGATGGTGGAAGAACCATTCACCTGTTTGCCAAAACTCGGCATGTTTCTTAAGCAAATTGTGATGCAACCTTCTCAAAACTGCCAGATAGAAACTTTGATTGATGGTTTGATCCGAAGGAACAAACTCTGAGGGGACTACCAGGAGCCTGGCCTCCAACAGATAATTCCAGCTTTTTGGGGGTACCTATTCACAGACATGAGTGAGGTCTTGCTATGTCACCCAGGCTGGTCTTGAACTCCTGGCCTCAAGCGATCCTCCTACCTTGGCCTCCCAAAGCATTGGGAGCCACCACACCCAGCCACTTACATATTTTAGAAAACACTTTTTATAAAGGACAGATACAAAAATGGGTTTCTGGTTGTATCTTGAAGTGACTAGAAAATCTTCCAGAACCTTCTAAGTCACTATCGGAATGACCTTGTAGGCACTAGTACACCATCCGGAAAGGAGACCGTGCCTAGACGGTGAGGCTGCAGTGAGAAGACAGACGCTCAGAACCCCGGATCCCGGCCTCTGTCCCCAGCCTTCGGGTCATGTGCCCAAGAAGCCTCACCCCCAAATGCCAATTATTCCCGAGTCCCCGGCCAGAAGCCGTTCCCCCTGCTACGTGCAGCCCGGCATCCGACAGGCCCCGAATCTTCCCACTAGCCCTGATGGGAGCTCATTATCCTGCCGGCAGCCCAAGCCAGTGCTGGGAGGTCTAATTGCCAGAAACTTCCTTTTATGTTGCACTGCAGTCAGCCTATTGGGCTTTGCCCAGAGGTCCAAATTCTGCTAATTGGACAATGCCAGCGGCTCTGAGTGACAGGCGAGGACCATTTCAGCCTCCGTGCAGAAATTAGATAAAAGGACTGTAGCCAAGAACCTGGGGCCTCAGAAGAGAGAAGATAGCTGCTTTTCCTCAACTCATCCGAGAGCCAGGGAAGATAGCTGCTTTTCCTCAACTCATCCTGTCGCCAGACTCTTGTGCCTTTCCCAAGGCCCAGCATCTTCGTGGGACCATCTCCCCCGCCCGTCAATCCCTCCTGTCTCAAAGCTGCTGAACTGTCGATCAGGTTCATCCCAGGTGTTGACCAGCCTCGCCTCACCGGACCCGGATTTCCTGGAATATGGTCACGTGCTGCTTCTGAACATTTACCTCTAGACCTACCACAGTGTTACTGGCCACAAACTCTACCAGCTCCCAGGTGCCCTCAGAAGGCACCAAAAAGCACACCCCAAAGTGCTGGGCCCAACACGGACAGAAAAATCTGATCGTGGGAGGAAATTCTCCTGCCTTGACCTTGAAATGGGCTATGGTTTTTGTGGGAATTAGGAGAGGACATTTTTTAGAAATGCCAAAGCTTAAAAACTCCGACCTGTCATACCCTGTGCCGCCATCACTTCAAATGATTTCCTTTTCATTCCAAATGAAGACTGTTTGTTTAGGAAAGGAGAATCAGCCTGGAGGCTCTCTGCCTGGGAAGGTTTGTGTCCCAGACTGACGTGAAACGCGACCCGCACCGGAGTCCTGGTGGGAGCCCATGTGACCCGTCGTGAGGCGGCCGAGTCAGAACTCAGAGTCAAGCAGAACCGACGGGAAGGACGCCGGCTCCAGCTCAAGAAAGCCCCTGCATTCTAGATCTTTGTAAAATGCTACGAATAACAGCACTGCAGATGCAGGTAGATTTACCTCTTCAAACTCCCTCTCAATTCTGGGGAGCAAAAATGGGGCCAGGATCCGACAACGCATTGGTTTAAGAGTGAGGAAAAACAGGAGGCGGAGAGGGCATCCTGCACCTGACTGGCCTTGCTCGGCGGTGGGGGGCAAGCCCAGCCCCGAGAACGAACGCCCCCACCTGCACGACCTGGTTCCCCTCCCTGCAGCCACTTCTGACACCCTCCAAGACTTCGCAGAGCGTCCTGGAATTCCAGGCTGTGAAAGCCGTGGGGGAAACCCACGACCGTCTAACTGTTACCACGGAATATTTGCACCATCCCAAGGCCCCCAGAGAGCACAACAGGAGGGGATTGTCAGACTCTGAAGACACAGGCGGGGGGGCAGGTCGGATGCTGCCTGGGGCCTTGGGTCACCCCTCCTCTGCACTCGGGGAGCCGCCATTCAGATGGCCCTGCTGGCTCCGCTCTGTCCTCCCTCCCATCCCACCAAGGCCGCTGGGGATGACACACCTTCTGGCTCCAAGGCAAAGCCAGTCCATGCACACGCTTCCTCGAGCACTCAGGAGTTACCTTTTTTTGCTTTCTTCTGCAGCTTCAGCGTGTCTGAGGACTTCTTTTTGATCTCTTGGCGGGCTTTTTTGTATTCTAAGAGAAAGCAGAATACAGAATCACATTACCACTCTGCTTGACAGAATGCATTTCAGGAACGGTGTCACCCGCCCTCACAGAGAGCGCGCCCCGTGGCAGGCAGGAGTGGCTTTATGAAAAGCGGCCTGATAAAAATCTCACCATGACACTTACAATGAAGGGGTTGTTGACATAAAAACCCAACAAAAACCGCGTTCACGCATGCCCACATTGAGGAGACTCAGCTGGGGATACTTCAACTTCAATAAAAATGAAAAAAAATCACAATTTCTCAGCTCAAGAATCAGGGAAGATCTTCAATGTTATCTTCTTTGCCAATACCCAAATCCACTCCAAAAACAGCTCTCTGGGAGGCTGATGCTGCCAGATGTTACAATTCAAAAAGGGGCATCTCGGACGACACATCTTTTCGTTCATGTGGGGATAAAGCTGGGGCCGGACACCACGGGCTCTCCCTCCGCCACCCACCTCCCCTTCCCCACCACCCCATACTAGCTTCCCCAATTCTGTCGCTGGCAGCCTCGTCGCCCAGACAAAGACACTGGCACGACAGCTGCGTCCACTACGTCTCTCCTTCACCGCCCTCACCGTCCATGAACTGCCAGACACTGTAGATTTCGCCTTGGCCAGCTCCGGACAGCCAGCCCCAACGGTGCCCGCCTGTGAACCCTAAGCCCAAGGCCCAAGTGTGGCCTTTTGTTCCCGTGGGTCCAAATTCCTAACCAAGAGGTTCGGGGAGTCACGCCTGGGAAGAACTGGCCAGGCGGGCTTTGATCACCCTGCTACTAAACTCTGTTTTCCAACCTGATTCGGGTACAACATCACAGAACAAATATAAAGAAGGTAATCTAAGTCACGATGGCCCTGGGACTCCCAGACGCCAGGAACCCTGTTAGAAGCCGGTCTGTCCTCTCTGAAGGCGGCCACACACAGGCCCTCATCTACAGATCCACAAACGAGGAGTTTCTCTGCCGCCTCATCGCAGGAAAGCGCCTCCTCTGCTGACTTCCCCAGTTTCCTAGGCGGGGCCTACAATGACTGGTCAGGAGACCTTTGAGTCCACCCTGGACCTGCAGCCCCGCTTGGAGTTGTCCCTCAGCCCCAGGCCAAACCGATGAAAATCCCGCATGAACTAACTTATGGTTTTTGTAGCTCCTGTCTTAAAATGTGTGGAGCCAAGCCACCCTGCAACCATGTGGGCACAACGTTCTCAGGACCTCTGAGGATGGGTGTTCCCGGCCTCAGGTCATGCACAGCCCACCTCAAACTGTGTTATGAGCGTGGCATCTTTCTTTTTTTTTTTTTTTTAG